TATCTCCTCTAATTTTCATAATCACTAGTACTTTTTCATATACTGAATGGTGGAAGTAGGACCTATGACCAATGGGAGTAGTGTTATACATCATCAAAAATTATGTCATAATCATGGAAAGAGAAATTTGATTTGAGAATATGTTTGTATCACGAGTTTTTCAGTGCTGTAAAAGCTTTAACTTTATTTCTTGTTCATGTAGTAATTAATTTTTAAGGAGAAAAGGGTACTTAGGGGGCAGAACAATTAGGAAAACATAAAAGTTCGCCATAGTTTCAAGGCCATTCTTTAAATTTTACAAAATTAAAGGAGGCAATTGCCTACCCTCGATATAATCTGGTTCCACCACTGCAATTGATGTTTAAGCTTATACGTTGTGGATAATCTCATCTTTACCACCTTTTGATGCGAAATTATTCGAAGACTGAATAGCTTCCATCAGTCTGTTGCTTGGATGGGGGCTGGATTGCTGATGATTTTAGTTGGAGTGGTTGTCAATATGCTTCACATTTCCATTTCACAGCAATCCCTCCAGTAATAATACATTTTTGTTAAAGATGGATATTAGAGACTCCAACTGCAGAGAAAATAGAAGATAACGTTTTTTGGTAGCAGAACACTAGAACGTGCATGTTGACATAACCCTTCACATGCGACGCATAACAACTTGCTTGTATTTGCAGGGAGATCCACTGACCATTATCTTATTTTTGGGTTTGGAACAATTCCTTTTTCCTCTATTCTGCAGAAATGGCGGACTTCCTCCAACCTTTTATCAATTGTGTTGCTTGCTTGCAATTTGGAATTAGGAAGAAAAAGAATTGAAATGTTAAGGGGCAAAAAATAATGGCTTTGGCTGCCCAGAAAATGGAAAGAACAATTCCTTTTTTTTTTTTCTTTTCTTTTCTTTTCTTAACTGATTACATAATTCAGGTTTCAAAAGGCGCCTAACTCCCAAAAACTTTTCTCTCCACCTTACTCTAACTGGAAGGGTACCAAGTAAGCAAGACAAAAAGACCATCGATCCGCACTAAAGATGACTGCTCAAAAATAGAAAAAATAAATTACGTTAAAGAAGGTATAAGGTTCTTTGCTGATGAACAATCCTAATTGAGGTGCGTAGAGCCACCTCATGACCACCTCATCAATGCCTGTAAAGTGAAATGATCAAGTAGGGTCTTTAATTCTTGGCCTTTTCTTTTGGTAAATGATCAAGTAGGGACTTGATGATCTTTTCTTAAACCCTACAAACGAATGACTTTGTGATGCAATTTTTACACACTTTCACACTCCTTTTTTGGCCTCTTGCGTCATACTTCTCCTCGGACAAAGATAACTGTCAAGTATAGTATACATTCTCACAAAAAGAAGTTCTAAAAAATTACACAGAATGGGAATCCTCAAGGAGTAAAAAGGAAGCAAGAGAAATTCTGAGGCTTGGCTTTGAAGGATTCTTGATGATGATGGCCCGAGAAAGGCTTTTCAGAGTCACTTTCTTCTCTTAAGATTTTTGGCAGTATGGACTTGTCCTTGCATGCAACTGCTGTGAAGAAAGAATAAGAATATGGAATTGAAGATCTTTTTGAGGTGGGGTGGTACCCTCCATCCTTGATCTTTTGGGAGGATAAGATAACGCAATTGTATTTTTCTATGACTGTAAATGTAGGCTCAAAAATAACCAGTCCTTTCGTTGTTCCCACCTGTCAGTGAAGGCTGTAGAGATAAGAAAATTGTTGTAGAAGAACCTCATCAGTTTGGCATTCCTCGATGCTTCTTCTTTTCTATCCTCTTATCTAATGCACAATTTGTCATGGTCCCTTCCGAAATGTAGTAATCGTTTTTGGTCGCGGGATTATCATTTGCGCCTAGGGTTAATTTTGACAATAGTCTCCAAAAACATAAAATTCTGTATGTCAGCATTAAAAAGATGGTTGAAAAATAAATACAGCCGAATGATGTATTTAAAGAATTCAAAAACCTATTGAAAAGAAAGTGCCTGTAATTTGCAAAGAGGGCGTCCACAAATAAAAAAGAGAACTAAATTAAAAAAAAAAAGAACTTTTTTATTCAGCAAAAAAGAAGTGGGACTAAAAAGGCGGGAGTAAGGATGGCAACTCTCAGGCTATGTTTTCAGAATCGGACCGGATATCGATTCGGTCAAACTCAGGGGTCAATGGATTCAACCGGATTCGATAGGGGTTGAACCGCCGGTTGAACCGGATGATGTCATAAATAAAATTTATTTAAAAATTAAAATATTATATGTAAAATACTTAATAACATGTTAATATTAATAAATGTATATTCAAATATATTTAATAAGAAAATACAAATAAATTAGAGCAATCAAGTAGCAATTTATATTATTTAATAAGCATTAACAAGTTTAGAATTAAAATTATGGATTTAATTGAAAAATAACAGCAAACTTTAAGACAACATTTATAAAGTATGAAATATTTGAGGTATGTTAATAATTTTTAACAACTTAAGGATCAAAACATCATATTAAAAATATTCTGCCCTTTCAAAAAAAGTTTTTAAAAAAAAAAAAGACCTAGTTCATTTTTCCTGTCAAATCTGATCAAACCCGGGTTTTGACCTGATTTGACCGAGTTTTTTATTTCCCGATTTTTAGGATTAACTCGGACCGGCCAACGGTCGAACCGGCCGGTCCGGTCCGAGTTTAAAAACAAAGCTCACTGGCACTTGCCATGCAAGAGGAGTCATGGGGCAGGGGGTGAGACGAGGCGAGTGCGATGGCAGAGGGAATTTTTCTCCCCCAGTTATAGACGAAGGGGAACAGGGGAGGATATCCCCTCCCTATCCCTTGTTTCTAATATAAAGTTTTAAAAAAATCAATATTTATATATAGTTTTATACATATATGCATTGTAACTATATATCAATAACGTTTGTGTGTGTATGTGTAATTTGTATGATAAAAATGATTATTTGATTATTTTTAGTTTACTTCAATTGTTTTCACATATTGTAAGTTGTTTAAACGAATTTGATGATCATAAGTTTGGGTTTGCTATTAAAAATAGAGAAATGAATTAAAAAAATATCAAAGTTATTTTTAATCTTGATTTCACATTGAATATTTAGCTAAAAATCTAAAAAGTGACTTAAAATGTTGTTATTGATATTGTATAGAAATATATAAAATAATGTCAAAGAAAAATAAAAATTATAATTACACAACTGCAAGGTCACCTATTAGGGTATGGGTTAGGGTGAAGTAGGGGGCGAAGTAGTAAAAACTAAGGGACAAGGATGAGACAAGGCGGAAGGGAGGGAAAATTTTAGAGTACTAGGTGGGGGAGGGGAGGGATCCCTCGCCCCATCCTTACTCCATTGCCATCCCTAATGAGCAGTAGGCTGGGAGACTTAACAAGCGGGGAAGCTTAACCCTTTTTTAAAATAAGAAAGTTATTTTTGATATCCTCTATATATATTACAAAAGTTATTCCAATCTTATTAAAGTTAGTTACACACCGCAAACATGTTTCTATTCACCCTTACAAGAAATTAAGCATATGTTTTGCCTCTTTGTGAATTTTTTAAATCTCAACCGCACCCTACATAAGTTCTTCCAAGGACTTTTGGGTATATTCTTGAAAGCAAATGATAAATGCACAACAATCCCTAACGTGTTAATGCAGCTTAAACATTCTCCAAAAAGATGAATAATTTCACAAATTAAAATAAAGATTCCATGTTATGACTAATCACAAAGATGCTTCACTTGATTAATCACACTTTTCTCTACCGTGAGTGGGTAATCACCCCAAAAATTAACAGCATCGGATACTTTCCAACACGAGGAAGAATGTGCAGTTCTGTCAGTCAGACCACTCCACAATTGGTAAAGCTTGTTGAATATGATTGACATGCAAGTAGGCACATATATATATATATATATATATATATATATATAACCGGTAATAATCCTATTTTTCAGTGATACACATTCTTGTATAATTGCTTATTGAGATGCTAAATTGATTCTTGAAGAAAGATTTATTGTCCAAGTAGAACTTTTCAAAGCATCATATATTTACTCAGATGGTGGCAAATTTAGGAGCTAAAAGTAAATTATAATGCAAAGCTCGCCGTATAATTAAATTTGAAGTTTTTATTCTTCGAGAAAAATAGATTAATGATGCAAAGACACTTCATTGTCTAGTCCTGTCGGTATTAACAAAGAAATTATAACCCCAAACACTTGAAAAAAGCCATTGAAGACTAAAATCAGCTCCCCCATGAAGGCTATCGAATAACTAGAAATCCCAAGTACAAAATTAAACAAAAAGATCCGAATATTGAAAATTTCATTAGGGCCCTTTAGTTACCTCCTTTTTTTTAAAAAAAAAATCTTTAACTAAGTTTTGGCTCATTTTTCACCTTCAAAGTTTAAAAGTATATTTTGCGAGAAACTATTCACCTATTCTGCTAATTGAATCTAACAAAAGGGCATTTTTCTCTTTTCCTCCTTCTATTAAAAAGAAAGAAATGAAGAAAAGGGCAGATGAAGACCGAATTATAGATGGGAAGTACATATATTAAATAATAGTAGTGAAAATTTTAAGGCACAAAATGAATAAAAGGTAGTAATGAATATGTCGCACTCTTCAATTTTATAGAAAAAGATGGTTGCTTGCTTATTTTTGTTTATCTTTCTGCACTAGACAAATTAACCCTTCTATAGTTTTGCTTCTCCAGTGAAGAGGACCACCTGAAACGTCGGCAATCCGAACATTTATGGTGACCTAGCACAAACTTTCTAGTCGTGTAAAAACAGGTGGAAGAAAGGTCGTAACTTGGCTATCACCAATTTTAAGCTTAATAAAATCCCACCAAGTTCTTGATAAATCTTCACCAAATTATGCGTCTCCTCCTTCAAAGGAAAAAAATTATGCTTCTCCAGAGTAGTACTCTAAAACTTGTAGGTGTTACTTGCCATTTTTGAGATGTACAAGCTACTTAAAAAGATGTAATCAAAAGAAATATAGCACACACCATAATTTACATTAAACAAGGCTGATAGTACATTATACATGCATAGATATGCTTGGTTACATTAACTACAAAACCAAACGCATGCAGATAGAAATATCTCCACTTGGTCATGCATAGATAAAAATGCCAGCAGACCACATATGGACAGAATAGACACTTCAGCACCACCACTAATCACTGGCTTCTGCAGATGTCAAAAAACCCATTGCGGAAAGCCATAGTTCAGACTCTACGATACTCTAGATTATTACAATATTAAAATCTTGACTAGAAAAAGAAAAGGAAACAAAAAAAACTAATACATGTATTAGATATAGTAAATTATAAAGCTGCCCAATCAATCTCCACTGAGGGGAACTTCTGCAACAAGAAATTCTCTGACTCGTCAAAAGTGGGCTCAGCAAAATCCAAGAAAGTTATTTCAGATTCAGGTGAAGACATTTCCAGTGATGATGTTTCATCAGATCTTGAAGGTGATAATGATGATGAGGTCTCCTCCACCTTAACATCCTCATTTCCTGGATAGACATATTCACTGTTCAATGAATCATCAAAGGTGTTTTCCACTTTTGGGATTGTCTGTACCCCAACCTTCTTCTGATGCTGCTCCCCTGTATTCCCCTGTTTCTGAGAATCGGCCAAGCTTTGACAAATGGCTTCAAGTTTAGCATCAACAGAGGAATGCAAAGGTTTGAAGTCACCAAAATCTTGGCTTAATTGATGCCGAAGGTTTGGAAAATTAAGCCTAGCAAACTCTCCTCTCAGCTTATAAGCAGCCTTATCATAGGCCAAGGCGGCTTCTTCAGCTGTGTCAAAGGTTCCAAGCCAAAGCCTAGTTCTGTTCTTGGGGAGTCTGATTTCAGCTACCCATTTGCCCCAATGTCGCTGTCTAACTCCCCTGTAAAGCTTGGCGGGTTTTGGAGGAGTTCCGACTTGCTTCATTTGGACAGGTTTTGGGCCAAGAAAGCTCAAGGGGGAATGATTCTGGTGCTGCAATTGCCTTGTTGAGCTATAGTTTTGGAGGGACTGAGCAGCTAAGTATTGCTGTTGTTGATTTTGAAGTTTGATTTGAGCCTCGACTTGAAGGATCTGATATGGGGTCAGATGGTTTAACCCAATTGAACCACCACCTGATTGCTCATCAAATCCCATCTCATCAAAGCTAGACAACCCTTGAGAAAACATGTGGGCTGTGGTTGGAACATATGAGGTAAAAGAAGAGTACATGTTGGGCTCAGAAGAGAAAGAAGAAGAGTCAAAAGGGTAGTAAGAAGAGCAAGAAGAAGAAGAAGAAGTTGACGGAGGAGAAAGAGAAGAAGAAGAAGAGGAAAAGGGAGAAGAGGTAGTAGTAGGAGAGGAGGGCAAAGAAGAAGCACCTTTCATAAAAGGTTCGAGTGCTTTCATCAGCTCTTCCCTCAAGGGATCTGATGATAATGAGAAAACAGGATTACTGTAACTGTAGATATCTATAGCAGTTGCCATAACTGAGATCAATAATTCAAAAAAAAAAAAAAAAAAAGAGATCTGAGCTGAAAAAAAGTTCGTGAAAAACTAACAACCAAGTCCTTGTGAACCAAAAAACTAATGAAACAGGTGGTAGGAGAGGAAGAAAGAAAAGAAAAGGATCAAACAGGTTTCAAAATAAAGAACCTTTTGGTATCCTTGATAGTACTAGTAATATATGTACCTTCAAGAAAATGAAAGATCAAGAAACCAAAACTCACCTGAGGGATAGGGGAAAAAAAAAAAAGACCCTCTTAGTTGTTTTAATCAAACTAGAAGCAAAAGAAGAGCTACAAGAAACTATACCAAAGTTACAAGAGAAAACTGGATCTCTATTCTGAATCACCTGGCTTTCAAAAACACCCTTATAGGGGGTTTGCTTTGAGATTTTCTGCAGCTGAAGTTTGAGTTCAAAATCAAGAAAAAAACAAACCAACCCTTAAAATTTTGCAGTACAACAAATTTCTTGAAAGACAGACGATGACAGAAAGGGATCTCAGAAGCGGGATGTTATAAAGAAGGGGGAAAGGAAAAAGAAGGAAAATTAGCAAATGCACAAAAAAAAACTCTCAAATTTTTCTGTGGCCTCACTTAAGATGTCCACTCTTGCATATGGTTGTGACTCCCATGCTTCTATATAAAGGCCAAGACTGCGGCTGGTACACACAAGATTAATTATTTTAATCTTGAATTGTTGATTTCTTTAGTATTAAGTCCGCTTTGGGTTGCTTAATTATTCTACATTCTTGTCAAACTTCTAGAGATACCTTCTATGAAAGAGAAAGATCCAATGGGTTAGTGACACGTGAGGAGCTCAATGAAATGTAGACTGGCAGGTGCCAGTTAAGATCCACGTGGAGATTTTTTATTAGATGGTGAATGTAGTTGACTGCTAGTAGGCAGTCACCTTCAACTTTGGGAACCAAAATGGTAGTAGCATGGTATACGAGGACCATTTTTTTTTTTTTTGGCCTTTCGAGGATGTATACAAGTTTTTGTCCTTTCTATTTTTTTTGACACGCCTAGATTATGACACCTAAACTCTCATAAAAAAAAAAAAAAAGGTAAAAAAGATTATAACACGCAAATGTGATGAAAAGAGTTTAGGAATTTTGACCTCTTAATTTAGCAGCATGATGATCAGGTGGCTAAGGGAGGACTCCCTTCACTGTCAGATTAAAGGTTTAAAATCAAGTTTAAAATTTGAATTTTGAACTTGACAGTTGAAAGCGAGATAGAGGGGTGAGAAGATTAAAAAAAAAGACCAGTTGATCACCAACCTGAAGCAAACTTGGCCATTGGATTACATGAAAGGAGATTTTTCATATGAACCACAGCTTTAGCTATCATCCCATGGAGCAGATTTTGATAGTATAAGTCTAACTTGGCCCTAGCTAAGATGAAGAATAGGAAAAAAAAAAACATGGAGTCATGGACCAGTTTCAATTTCATTGGCTCTTTTTAGATGGGAAATGGGTTTTGGCATAATCGCACACCACCAACTTTTGTAGAGGCCACAGACAAGTCCAAGATTCGCATTCCACTATTACCAAATTCTGTTTACACGAGGTAAAATGATACTGCTACAACTTTAGAATCTTTTTTCACAAAACTAAAATTTGAGTTGGTGAACCTCATTTGTAACATCCATTTCTTCATATGTAGCAAATGAAGTTCCTCCAAAGTTTATTTAATCATGAATAATTAGTTATCATCAAATTCAAATTTGGGTTTTGACAATCCTTTAGGGGGTACCCTTCAAGAAATAATTCATTTTGGATTCTCAAGTTTGTTTTGATTTTGAATACAGCACCATACAACATGAATGTCCATGGATATTCTTTTTTTTTTTTTTCCTGCAACGATAGACCCTGTATTTATTTTATTATATTCTATACTATGGGATAGGAGGAGAGCCTGAGGAGGCCCAGAGAAAAATCAGAAAGAACTGAATCACCTATCGACCCAAACGAACGCACCACACACTCGTCCGATGATCACTTAAAGTGGTCTGCTACATTTAGTGCCAAATGGTGGGAAGCAAGGTGGTGGCCACCGAGCTCAGTGGTTCCATGGATATTCATTACTACATGAATAACTCATCCCCCAACAGTCAACTGAATTTAAGAAAAGTAGTTAAGAAGAAGAAGAAGAAGTATGATTAGACTTGAAATTTGGTGCCTTTCAATAATTGAGTAAGAAATATGACATTCACCAATCAAGCAGCCTGGTTAGAAAACAGAAAATAGCCCACATCATCAGTAAGTCTTCATGGTCATGATGGTGCTACATATTGCCCCAAGGTAAAGCGAGACATAGGATACGATTTCCCAATTTGCATTAATCATTTCTTATCCATTACCAAACCCCATCTAATTTTGTCATTAGCAAAAAGCAAAACCACCATTTTCTTGAAAGGATTAAGATGGATGGACGTGTGCCAAAGAGACAAAATACTTGTGGGATCCACGTCTACGCAACGCAGGATTATATATAATTGTTGTCTATGTAAAGAGAAAAACCATGGATTAGGAGGGGAAGCGGTAGCGGTAGAAACTGCTGGCAAATAAGTCAAAGTTCATGCGGTGAAGGGAAGTTAACAGTGTAGAGTCAGAATTGCAAAGAGAAAAGGAGAAAGAGAAGAATAAATCATAATCATCATTTTCCTACACGAAACTATAGGGAAGGCAAAGAAGTTAATTTGAGTGCGACAATCCATCGTCAATTGCGGCGCCAGCGAGCCAACGAGAAAGCGGACGGAGAAAAGGACCCCTCGAAATCAAATGCCATTGCAAGCTACTACTTTGATCCAGTTTTTACTTTTACGGTATCCCTTGTAAAATTTTGCATTCTTTAGATTTTTATGGATTTATTTAGCGGGTGCCTGTTCAGTTTCGTCCGTTAATTTTTCAGTGAAATAAAATTAAACTGAAAAGATATCTGACCGTACGCTCGTTAGAAAAATTTTCTTTTGTAGTTATTTAGAGTATTGATTAGTATGTGTGTGTCTATATATATATATATATATATATATATCTATGTGCGCCCCCCGGGCGCGGGCGCGCATGCATGAATGGATATGGCCATATTTACTATCCTCTTTTAGAATAAATTTTTTTATTTTTTGTTTACAAATAATACTTGAAAATTCTTTAATGAGTACCTTAATGGGCACTTGTTACACCAAAAAAAAAAAAAAAATGGCAGACACGTAAAATTTTTCTTTTGGAAATTTAGCGACAACTTATGTTTTCACTCAAAAGTACTTATGATAATTTTAAATTTTTAGGAGTGACTATCCCATCCCATCCTGTGTCTGAACATATACAAGCTTCATTCTAGATGCACTTGCATAAGAAATATTGTCATATATAAGGCAATTTCTCGAAGTGAGTAATCTGTGTTAGTGTTAGAGATGATAGTAACAGAAACTATCAAGATTTTGTGAGTTTAACATCAATTAATTCTAGTTTACCTTGGATCAAATTGACCTATTCTTCAAAACATACTACTATATTCAGTTTTTTTTTTTTGTGCTGCGTGACTCACTGGTACACACTTGCAAGGTTGGACCTAGTGAAATAAATTCCAAGACAACCTCATCAACAAGTTGAATTGAATATGATATAGTAAAACTTATATTTGAAAGTGATTTCTTATAATAGTAAATGTTCCTCTTGTCGTGTCATTTTCATCTGACAGCCAACCAATTTATTGACCTAAAATAAAGTAAATATTTCAAAATTATTTAAAATAATATCTATACTATATATGAATATATATATATATATATATATATATATATATATATAAAGGATGAGGAAGGGGTTTGGGGTTAACATTTATCGTCTTTCTTTTTTATCCTCGTAAAAATTATTTTTACTTTAACTACCTATAAGTACTTATAACTATTTTTACTTTTAACTATTTAAGTATATGTTTTCAACATAACTATCCCTAAACATTACAACTACCAATATAAAATTATTTTATGAGAAATATTTCAAAGATTAAAGTTTGCTTCAGTAATAAAAGTTTTATTTAAAATATACGACCATCAATATTATATATATTTTTTGATTGCACACACATTGGATATGCATTAAGCACTAGTTGAGATAATTTTTGTGATGTGATGTTTGTAAGATAAAAAATGTAATTATAAAAGTATAATTAAATTTTATATTTATAATGCAAACGAAATAATATTCAAAAGTGCTTTTATTTTTTTTCGTCCTTGTTTAAACCTTTCCCAGGCTAGATAAATAATAAATGGACCGTGGTTACAAAGCAACCTTTTTGTCCTTTTCTTATTATTATTATTATTACTCCTTCCGTCCCACTTTGATAGTCCTGCATTCCTTTTTCATCTGTCTCAAATTGTAGTCTACTTTTCAATTGAAGAATGTAGTTGTATTTTAATTTTTCTAAAATACCCTTATTCAATGGAAGTAGTTGTTACTATAAACCTAGCTCATTTAATGAGAGTTGATTCTTTTTTTACCATCAATTCAAGTTCCCATAAAGTTGTACCATATTTAATATGAGGGTATTTTAGAAAAATAGTAATTTAAATTTACTTTTTCAATAAAATTAACTACTTTCTCTTAAATTGTGTGAAAAAAAAAACAGGACTATCAAAATGGGAGGGAGGGAGTATTTAATTTCCTAGTTTGGGCGCAAAGGGAAGCTTTTACTTTCAGCCTCAGGGACGGACGGTGAGCAAGTTGCGGAGTTAGCGTGAGAATGAAGCGAAGCCATCGGATTTGTTGCGGGCCCCGCTGGGATCCAGAGATATTAGTGGAGCCTGTTATTTACGTCTGACACGTCATTTCCTACGTGGCCGTCACTTATATGCCACGCAAAGTATAAAATCCACCGCCGTTATCCTATCCAAAAATTTCCAAGGTTTAATGATGTTCTAAAGCTAATCTAAGGACTTTTTTTTTTTTGAAGGAACTAATCCTAAGTTCACAGGGCACAAACTATTGCTACAACGTTAAAGGCCTTCCGTATACTTGGTTTATGTTTCTTAATAATGTTCCCATTTTTCTTCAAAATGATCCAAAGTTCAATGGCCTTGATTCATTAAAAAATTGTACGCATTTCTTAGTTCCTTGGTTTTTTTTTTCAGCAGCATTTGTTCGTTTGATACCAAAATTGTAATAGATTGATATAGCATAAAATTATTAAGTAAAATACTTAAAAGGAATAAAATTTGTTGTGCCTTTTCTTCAATTTAAGGCCTGCCAATTGCCATAGTCCGAATATAAGCAGCTATTAAGCCAATATTTTTTTTTTAACTTCTAGCTGTAAAATTCAAGATTAAAATGTACTCTTTACATTGAAGAAGCTTATACGCAATAATAAATGTGTACTTTGCAGTGAGATGTCTCTTTGAAGGACCCTTTGGTCAGGACATCAGTTTGCCACGTTCAAATGAACACATCTCGCTTTCTGAGTCTGATGGTCATTGACAATGAAACCAGATTTCTTTGTCGACTAAGCCACTATTTCTGAAATTGAAGGATGACTAGAAACAATTGAAGACCACTAAGGTGTGACTTGATGCACATTGAGTCCTAAATTCTCTCGTCATGCATGACACATTTTTATCG